TCTCGTGCCAGCCCCCAGGTTTACCTAGTGCGCACTGGTCGCCAGTAGCGGCTGCGGGTTCCTGGGTTATCAAAAAAAAAAAAAAAAAAAAAAAAAAAAAAGAGATTTGTACAATTTTATAATTGGAGGTTGATTGTGCTCTTGTTGTTGGCCAACTTGCTGTTAAGGTAATAGTTTGGGAACACAAATAGTACAATCATTGCTAAAAAAAAATATTCCAAGTATAAGAAATGCTACTACCTTCGTCCCATTATTAATTTAATTTTTTCTTCTTCATAAATAAAATAGACAATATTATTTTATGTAATACCCATAATATAATTCCCACTTGAAAAGTAGTTATTTAATTTATAAAGAGAGAGGATCAATTATTTTATTCAGAAAATTACCTGAAATCAAATTTTTTTTTTTTTTTTGAAGTTTTAATTTCATTAGTCAGGTATTAATTTTTATTATTTTTTCCCCCAAAAATTAGGTAGTAACGTGAACATATATGCTTAGGTAGTAGTTAGTAAAATATCAATCACACGAGCTCATATGTCATATTGTATACTCATAGGTGACGATAAATTCTTACTTATAAAGGTCATAGTAAAATAAATTAAGTCACAATCGACACTAAAAATAAACTAACAAACTACATATAAATTATGTCACTATCAAATATCATAAAAAGTTACCATTACAGAATTTATAGGTCATAATCACTTATTAGAACATATCTTAGTTACATACTACCTTTTTCATTTTTGAAATTTTTTTTACTCGTTTTTAATTTTAAAATTATATCCATCTGTTGCAGATATAATTTTTTTTCCTATTTTAAAATTGAGTGTTAATTTATGTTTGAACTAATATGCTTAATGGGATGTTGGCTCGTCTATGTTTGAAAAGGCTATTTAGCTAAAAGTTATTAAGAAGAGATTTATTAAAGAATGATGCTATCTAACGTCGATGGGGTTAGAGCACCACTCTAAATGTCATAATGCGATAGACTCAACTAAAGGTAAAGTTTTGTAATTCATTTAATTGTGCTTATTATTTAATATCACTTAAGTGGCACTTAGATCGGTGTTGTACAATCAGTGGTGTTAAATAATATTACTCAAGACTTTTTACGTAAAAACCTCTTACATTTAAGCTTAAAAGGATTGATAATCATCTTCGTTCTTTTTAGAGGGGGAAAAAAGAAAAAAACAATTCAGCTAGGTCAATCCTGATTTTACCTTTATATATGATATTTAATTCTTGATTAGTAAATATATACTTATTGTGACTTTTTATTGTTAGTAATGGAAATGTACCTTGAACGCTCTAGACGATTGATGTGCCTAATATATTTTAATTTAGTACGCATATAATTCAATTTAACTTCACTAAGTTATATGATATATTTATTTTTTATAATCTTTAGACTTGATACTGCTATATGAACCTTTTCAAGCATTCAATTTTTATTCATATTATTAAATAAACTTTATATAATCTAAATAACAAGTTTACATTAAATTGAAGTTGTACCACCTAATGAAACCAATTTATTGGCTTGTAAATATCCAATTAGTGTAAATAATCCCTTTGTGGAATGTCAAATAATAATAAAAAAAAATAAAATAATTTGGATCTCTTCGCAAAATAAAACAAACTTTCTTTACTAATCCAATCCAAAAACATGCATCTCCTTTTTTCTCCCAATTCCGACCGCATATTTTTAATGTTATTCTTACTCACTTACTACAGCAATGACCATACGTCAATTTTTAATTATGTCTTTTGCCCAATGAATTAGTTTTTATATATTAACTAAGTGTATATCAACTGACTATGTTAATGCTAACAAAATATATAACTCGAATTGTAAAATCGAAAATGTGGATCAGCCAACGATTTTTGACCCTGTAAAACTTTGTGCACGATCTATTTTTGAAAGAAATAATGCTATTTGCAGTCACTCATTGTTGCAGTTGTCATACGTGATATACATGTGATGGTTAATGATTTGATGTATGAGACAACAAAAAATTATCACATTAATACATCAAATCACAAATCGTCATGTAGGATGTCACGTAAAATGACTACCGCAATAAACGATTATGAATAACATTACTCTTTCTGAAAAGTTTTACTCAATATTGACTTTTAATTCTTGAGATAAAATTCTTCGCGTGCATCTTGCCCAAAAATTTCTAAAAATGTTTGATTGATTGCTTTGAAATTAAGAACAAATACTTTCTCATTTAATTACTTGCATAAATTTTTTGGTGACTCTATGACCTGTTAGAAAGATATTGATTAAGGTCATACATTATTTTAATCTTTTCATAAAGAGATAAAATTATTTGATTTTTAGTAATCCTTTTTAAATTTGGAATTATGCTATCTATATATGAATAATGCTAAAGGTACATCACCATGTACTTAAGGGTGTTCATTTAAATTTGGAATTATGCTATCTATATACGAATAATGCTAAAGGTAATGGACACCCTCAAGTACATGGTGATGTACCCCTAGCACTATTGATCTATATATTAAGGAATTTTGAGGTGTTGAAGAGTCTGTGAATGTTGAGTTAATTGTTCCAATGGTCACTAAACTTAAGTCTATGTCTTTGATTGGTCACTGAAGTTTAAAATGTCAAGTTTTGGTTATTAAACTTAGATTCATGTCTTCTATTGCTCGGTGAAGTTTAAAATGTCGAGTTTTGACCACTGAACTTTGAAAAATGCTATACATTACTCGCTATAAACTCGATAATTTTCAAAATTTAACAGTTATACTAGTGAGTAATGTACGACATATTCCAAAGTTTAGTGGCCAAAATTCGATATTTTAAATTTCAGCGAACAATTTAAGCTATGGACCTAAGTTTAGTAAACAATCGAAGACATTGATATAAGTTTAGTGATCAAAACTTGACATTTTAAATTTCAATGACTAATCAAAGATATGGACCTAAGTTTAGTAACCATTGGAACAATTAACTCGTGAATGTATATGACAATTGATCTATTTAATTGACGTGACATTCTTAGATGTGTTGATATACTTATACTTATGGTGCATGAAGTAAAATAAAATAAAATAAAATCATAACTAGATATTTTGAAAAATAAATAAATCTAAGTAGTTAAAATAAAGAAATAAATTATGAGTATAGTGAAGTTTCTTAATAAATGGTAATGACATGAAACTTTTGGCAAGTTGATTTTGTGGGCTGCTAGATACATCTCTACGTGTTATTTTAAAAGTAAATTGCAAAAATTTCAAGTAAATCTCTCATTGTATTCATATTTAAGTGATGATGTTAAATATATAGATGTATTACACAGATTGTTAGTATATAAACAATATATTCTATTGCTGTTGTATATATCATAAATGCATCTCATGTCATATTCATGCATGTTAATTCTTCAATTATTATGCATGAAGTAAAGTTTCTAAATGATAAAGTTGGAAATAATATTTTCGATACCCAAATTTTGGAAAGGTGTATATATGTCTATGCCAAGGTAGGTGTGAGTGAAAAATGAAGCACGAGGGATCGGTGCACTCAGCTAATGAGTTGAATGTTTAGTGTTAATTGATTGTGGTAACTATCGATAGATTGAATTGAGTCCCAAATAATAATGGTTAACAAAAAGCATTCTAATTGGCTAGACAACATACTAAATTGACCTTACAATGTTGATGTTTTTAAAGAAATGATAAAAGAAAAAGGTATATACATTTCGAAAAGTAAATTTGTGTAAATAAATGTATATTGCAAACATGCATCATGTGCTTGCTTACTATTGGATTAGCTCATTCCATATTATCCCCCAACAATGCTTAGTGTACAACGATTTTGACATGTTGACAACATGTCTCATGACATGTTGTAATTGGATAGTTTAAAAACAATTCATCTTTTCAAAACAAATATTTTTTTGCAACAATCGATATTGTTAACAATATTGTATGAAAATATTGTACATATAGATTAATTCTATTATCCCACTTCATTTTTCAAATGACGAAGGTAAGATAATTCAAGATGATAACTTGTGGTGTAATAGACTTAGTACTAAGACATATAAATACTTTCTTTGTTTTGAAATAAAGTTAACCTTTAATTTAATTCTCTTTTATTTTATTCAAGTATAAAAAATTTCAACAAATTCTTTCCATAAACAAAAGCCTTTCATATTTATTATATTAAAGAAAAGTCAAATCACTTTTTGGCATTTATGATTGTAATAGAAAATTAAATGATAATACTTCTAAGTTTAGTATATCTAGATTTGAGGAGTTACATTCAATCGTGTTATTAAATAAATAAAGATTCCCTATAACTTATCGACGGTAATTTTTTAGTAAATTTCGTAATCAAATGTTGAAAGGAACATTTAGAAGCATACCTCAAAATTTTGGGTTAACTATAGGGTTTGTTTATAAATAATTTGAGGAAAGCTCGGCTCAACCCGACTAGATTTTAGATTTTAGTTTTTTGGAAGTTTAAGAGATACAGACACATTCAGTTTCGAGAGGGAAGAAATTTTTTAACAACTTCTTAGTTCTGTGATCTCCACAGTTCCATAATCCAGTTTCCAGATTCTTGAACAATTCTTTTCCTACCATTAATAATCCCAACAATCAATTCTTTAATCCACCCCAACCCCATCTGAGTAAATTTCAATTAAAAAAGAAAAGTGAAAATTGCTGGCCAAGGAAAAAAGGTGACAATTTGCTGGATACACGCAAGAACAAATTATAACATGCACTCATCAATGGATATATTCATAATGTTGTGTGTGTTCTTGATCAAATTGTCCTCTGAAGAATAAGAATTGCTGCCAACTCACTGTCAATTGAAGCCAATAAGATCATTTGTTTTAAAAGGAAAAAGATATATCCCTTCAACTTGCTTTTAAATCCATATATATTTTTTTCTTTTTTCATTTTCCATCCCCTTTCCCTCCCCCCTCCTATATATATCTGCCTTCATGCTTAGAGTTCAAACAACACCTTCCAAGTTCTTAGCTTATATTTTGTACCCAAACATCAGCTTTCTTGGAAAGTTCCCTTCTTCGTCGTTTAGGGGTTTTCTTTCTAAAATTTGAGTGACACTGTTTTTCCTCCTGTTTTACTCTATTTCCTATAGAAATGGCACCTACAAGTGATACCATCAACTCAGTTCTCACTGTTCTTAAGCCAAGCAAGAGGGATAATCTTTTTGAACTCTTTGATGACAAACTTTTTGTGAGAAATGTGCCATTGCTGACTGAAGTTCCAGGCAATGTGACATTCAAAAGTTTTTCCACCATATGCCAAACCTCTGAGGCTCCTCTTTCGCTTATCCGTCGAGTTGAGTCCATTTCTTACAAGGGTGGATTCCTAGGATTTAAGAAAGGGGAATCCTCAGACAGGTTGATAAATTCACTGGGGAAATTCAGTGGAAAGGAATTCCTCAGCATCTTCAGGTTCAAAACATGGTGGTCTACTCAATGGGTGGGGAAATCGGGATCGGATTTCCAGATGGAAACACAATGGGCTATGATAAGTGTACCCGAAATAAGGTCTTATGCTGTAATAATCCCAATAACTGAAGGGAAATTTAGGTCTGCACTTCAGCCTGGACTCAATGGACATGCTATGATTTGTGCTGAAAGTGGCTCATCAAAAGTGAAAGCATCATCTTTTGATGCTATTGCTTATATTCATGTATCTGAAAATCCTTACACTTTGATGAAAGAGGCTTATAGTGCAGTTAGAGTTCATCTGAATTCATTCAAACTTATTGAAGAAAAATCACCCCCTCCCTTGGTGAATAAGTTTGGTTGGTGCACATGGGATGCATTTTACTTGACTGTTGAACCTGCTGGAATCTGGCATGGAGTGAAGGAATTCGCAGATGGAGGGATTTCACCTCGGTTTTTGATCATTGATGATGGTTGGCAAAGCATCAACATTGATGGGCAGGACCCTCATGAGGACGCGAAAAATCTGGTTCTTGGAGGGACTCAAATGACTGCTCGTCTTCACAGGTTCGAAGAATGTGAAAAGTTCAGAAAGTACAAGGGTGGATCAATGACAGGGCCTAATCGTCCACCATTTGATCCCAAGAAGCCCAAGATGTTGATTTCCAAGGCAATCGAGCTCGAGATGGCTGAAAAGGCTCGGGATAAGGCTGCTCAATCTGGTGTGACGGACTTGTCTCAATACGAAATTGAGATTGAGAAACGGAGAAAGGACTTGGAAAAAATGTTTGGTGGAGAAGAGGGGGGAAATCCCTCAAGCCAAGGATGTTCAAGCTGTTCTTGCAAATCCGAAAACTTTGGAATGAAAGCTTTTACAAGAGATTTGAAGGCAAATTTCAAAGGATTGGATGATATTTATGTATGGCATGCCTTAGCTGGTGCCTGGGGTGGGGTGAGGCCAGGAGCCACCCCTCTGAGTGCCAAGATTGTGCCTTGCAAATTATCCCCTGGACTTGATGGAACCATGACTGATCTTGCAGTGGTGAAAATTATCGAAGGTTCGATTGGACTCGTTCATCCTGATCAAGCCGATGAGTTGTACGAAATGATGCATTCTTACCTAGCTAAAGTTGGGATTACAGGAGTAAAAGTAGATGTTATTCATGTAAGTTCATACCTTGGGATCTTATTTATCCTTTTTTTCATAGTCCTTTTCCCTTTTTTTTTTTATTTTTTTATTTTTTTTCACGATTTTCTTACTGGCTTAATATAAACATCCATAATTCAGACACTAGAATACGTATGTGAGGATTATGGAGGTAGGGTGGAGCTTGCAAAGAAATATTATAAAGGGATATCGAAATCCCTGTCTAAGAACTTTAATGGAACTGGATTCATATCCAGCATGCAGCAATGCAATGACTTCTTCTTGATGGGAACTGAGCAAATTTCTATGGGAAGAGTTGGTAAGAAATAGTTCGTTTTCTTTTTCAAATTTATGGCTTGTTGGCCTATATTCTCACTTCTTATCTTATTGAATTCAATAGGTGACGATTTCTGGTTCCAAGATCCCAATGGTGATCCAATGGGAGTTTATTGGTTACAAGGTGTTCATATGATCCATTGTGCTTATAACAGCATGTGGATGGGACAGTTCATTCAACCAGATTGGGACATGTTTCAATCTGATCATTTGTGTGCAAAATTCCATGCTGGATCCAGGGCTATCTGTGGGGGGCCTGTCTATGTGAGTGACTCACTGGGAGGCCATGATTTTGATCTCCTGAGGAAGCTAGTTTTCCCAGATGGTACCATTCCCAAATGCCAATATATGGCTCTCCCAACAAGAGACTGCCTCTTCAAGAATCCCCTCTTTGACAGCAAAACCATTCTCAAAATTTGGAACGTCAACAAGGTACAATTCTCAATTCCGGTAGGCCAAGATAACGTTAGCACATACGATAGATTTGCAAACAAGAAAATTATAGAGCTTCCTTATAGGGCAACTTTTTTGTCAAATTCTTTCAATACTTCTCCATCACAACAAATATCTCGTACAACTAAATCCCTTTTTTCCCCGGTCCAATTCCTCTACACTCATCAGTAAGAAATACGAAAAATTCCACATACCGACAGTAGGAAAGAATTTTACTTCAGTACTAATAGTTTCCAAATTCCTTAATTGATTTGTTTAATTTTCTATCAAAATTTTATAGTATGGAGGCGTGGTTGGTGCATTTAACTGCCAAGGTGCTGGATGGGACCCTAAGGAGCAAAGGATCAAAGGTTACTCCCATTGCTACAAGCCAATATCTGGTTCTGTTCATGTGAGTGACATTGAATGGGATCAAAAGAAGGAAGCAACTGAATTAGGAGAAGCTGAAGAATATGCAGTCTATCTCACCGAGGAAGAGAAACTATTCACAACAACAAACAATTCTGACGACATTCCGATCGTCATCCAGTCGTCTACTTTCGAGATCTTCACATTTGTCCCGATCAAGAAACTCGGTCAGGCCACTAAATTCGCGCCTATCGGACTAACTAACATGTTCAACTGTGGAGGGTGCATTGAAAAACTGTCTTACAATGGCACTAATGCAGAAATTGAAGTTAAGGGTGGAGGGAATTTCTTGGCCTATTCCAATGTCTCACCTAAGAAATGTTACCTAAATGGCTCAGAAGTTGGATTTGAATGGTCTGAAAATGGCAAATTGGGATTGTTCCTTCCATGGAATGAAGAAACTGGGGGCATTTCTAATATAACTCTTGTTTTCTGATCAAAATCCTAAGGCCTTGTGCTCTTTACTGAATGGGGCAGTAAACCTAAGGAAGTCGCGATGAGTGGCTCATAAAAATATTTCCTTTTTAATTTTTGTTATTTAAGTAATGTTACTATTGATAATAACCCACAAGGCCAAAGTGCAAGTGGGAAGGATTTTTCTTTTGGGTACATTTCATAAATTATGTCGATCATGTTACCTATAGTCTCATCCAGCACAAATTATCGAATATGCCAAAAGAATATACTAGTTAATCTCGAAAAATTTAAATTATTACATTTAAGATTTAGTTAAATCACAAAAAAAGCATCTCTAACGGGTTATGTGAAGCATGCCTGATATGGATGGAAACAAACTGTAATCTGATTTAAGATCCATATCATTGAAAAATGTACAAAACTTCGGCGAAAATGATTAATTGCAGAAGAGGGCTGCCAAGAAATATGATTCAAGATTCAGAGTAACAGAAGCTGGAACAAGAGCAAGACTGATCTCTGATAGAGGTATTGTATACAGCACACCAACCGCAACAAAATCAAGAAAGATTACTAATCATCCAGGCTATAGACAGACCTCCAGAACAAATCCGATCGACGCCACCCACCAAAACCCAACGGTCCCAACCATTGCAGTCACCGTCTCCATTAATGCCTCCATCAAGCTTGGAATCTTCCGCGTATTACTACCACCCTCTCTGACTCCTCAGCGATTGGACCACCATACCACTGATGTTTTGAACTGACGCGACAAGTTTAGATCAACTTAATGTATTTAATGAAATAAGTGCTGGATTATTGTAATGAATGAGATTTTTATAGAGGATCAATTTTTGAGAGATTGTCGTGATATGCTGGCTAAAGTTGAGGACCAATGTCCCTATTAATAGGCCTTCGAACGAGGGTCAAGCTACCGAGTCGATCTCGATATGTGTGCAACCATCTTGATGAGTTTTAATAGGTCATTGAAGTCCACGGGGCAAGCTATCATATTACCTAGTACGTACATGTTGTCTAAATCATGATTATCTGCTGTCTAGACAATCATTACTTCCTTCTAACTAGTGGAAGATGAGGTGTTTCGTGTTCGCTTCATTCAAGATCGACTGTATGGAAGGAGATGATGCCACTGATGGGACACCTTTTCAGGGAATCATAATGGTGTTTCTGTGACGGTTACTCATGTCCAAACTTGTTGAACAAACTTATGGTCTGACCTCAAATTATTTTTGTGGTTTACGATGCTAATCTTTCCATTTGTTTTTCAAAATGGTCCGAGGTGAATTTTGAGTTTGGTTACCAATATGTTTCATCATCTGGTTCACCATTAACCACCTCCTCTGTCATTGGTACAACCACTGTGAAACATGTAGTTGTGGATGATAATCGGTACCAAATGAAACTTCGAATTGCAAATTTGTCTCGGAAACCAAACGTTAGGACTTCCACTTGTGAATGATAATTTACAATTTATATATTTATTTGTTCTGAATGGTGGAAAAAAGAAAAAAAATTGATCTTTAGAATATTTTGGTAACTGAGAGGATTTTTGAGTAGAATTTTTTTTTAAATTTTTTAAAAATTTAAATTTGGTATTAATATCTCTCTCAAAACCAATAAAAATGAGAAGAGGTCAAAAATATTGGTTACATAACTAAAGAACCAAAAATAGGAAGGGTGCATTTGATTTGCATTTTTTTCAATTTTCAGTTTTAATGTTTTATTTTAAGATTATAGAAAATGCATTTAGTTTGTAAATTGTAATGGGTTAATTTCACAAATGGTCACTGAACTATAGAGAAAATTATAAAATGGTCACTGAAGTTTAAAACTTTCAGTAACGGTCACTTAAGTTTTGGGGCGCTTTCAAAAATGGTCACTGAAATTTAAAAACTTGCAAAAACGGTCACTGAATTTTAAAAACTTTCAGAAATCGTCACTGAAGTTTAAAAACTTTCAGAAACGCTCACTGAAATTTTTTTTCAATTTTTTGGGCTACTTTTGCGACAACTTTTATATCATTTTCGACCACCAATACCACCAAATTTTGATACCGTTGAAAAGTCCACAATTTTCTCTTCCATTACTACCCAAAATCTCCCCGTAACTCCAAGGAATTCGATCGAAAAATCGCAAAAAAAAATCTAAAAATCTGCCAAAATCTTCAGATTTTTGGCGATTTTTGCAGCGATTTTCCTGTGAATTTCGACCACCAAACTGGCTAATTTTGGGTGGTAATTGAAGAAGAAATTGTCAGCTTTCCAACGGTATCAAAATCCGGCAAAATTGATGGTCGGAAGTTGCCAGAAAGTTGCCACAAAAGTCGCCCAAAAAACTGAAAAATTTGCCCAGATTTTTGCCTTTCCGGGTAGCCAACTTTGTGGGTTTATTCCAACCGAATCCTTTGGATTTTGGGGGATATTTTTCATGGTAATTGAAGAGGACGTTGTAGGCTTTCCAATTGTATCAAAATCCGATGGTATTGGTGGCCAGAAGTTTCCGGAAAGTTGCCTCAAAGTAGCCCATAAAATCTGAAAAATCTGCCCAGATTTTCTCCTTTTCGGGTAACCAACTTTATGGGTTTATTCCGGCCGAATCCTTTGGATTTTGGGGGATATTTTTGATGATAATTAAAGAAGACATTGTAAGCTTTTCAACGGTATCAAAATCCAGTGGCATTGGTGGTTGGAAGTTGTCGGAAAATTGCCTCAAAATTAGCCTAAAAAATCAGCCCACATTTTCGCCTTTTTGGGTAGCCAATTTTGTGGGTTTATTCCGGTCAAATCCTTTGGAGTTTTGGGGATATTTTGGATGATAATTTAAGAGGACATTGTGGGCTTTTCAACGGTATCAAAATCTGACAATTTTGGTGGTCAGAAGTTTTCAAAAAATCGCCGCAAAATTGGCCCAAAAAATCTGGACAGATTTTCCCTTTTTTTGGGCTAATTTTGCAACGATTTTCTGGTCGAATCCCTTGGAATTATGGGGAGATTTTGGGTGGTAATTGAAGTGGACATTGTGGTCTTTTCGATGGTATCAAAATTTGACGGTATCGGTGATCGGAAGTGGCCGAAAAATTACCGCAAAAGTAGTCCAAAAAACTGAAATTTCAGTGACAATTTCTGAAAGTTTTTAAACTCTAGTGACCATTTTTGAAAGCGCTTGGAAACTTAAGTGACCGTTACTGAAAGTTTTAAACTTCAGTGACCGTTTTGTAATTTTTGCCTAAGTTCAGTGACCATTTGTGAAATTAACCCAAATTGTAATTCTTAAAAACTGTTTCTTAAAATAAAAGTAAAAATAGAAAATGTGTATGTATGAAATTTCTAGAAATTGTTTATAAAATTTTATTCAATTCATTAGATTATGTAATAAAAATAGAATAATTTTATGGTAATATATTATCAGGTATATGGATTATAAAAGACAAAATACAAAAAATTAATAAATTGACTTGACAAAAAGATAGAATTTTTTTATATTAATATTAAACAACAAATACTTTTACTAAATTGATGCTTATTGATCAGAGAGAGGATATTAGGGACCTGCTCATCGAAATGGAAGAGTGGTCGTCGGATTAGATTTAAAGACGGCAAGTCAGGGAGCGGTGAAATGGATGATGAATCGTTGGAGTTAAGCGTGAGAACGATTTGAGTGTTTTAATTTGAATTTTCGGTTTATAGCTTTTTGTGCTTTTTCACTTAAAATCTCAAAATGTTAAAAATACGTTTTAAATTTTATGTTATAAATTTATCCTTTTTTCAAGAATGCACATTCAAAAATATATGATCAAATAAGTTTCGCATATTTTATAAAATTGAAAACAATTTGAAAACAACAAATCAAACGCACCCCAAGTCTTTCTTTTTTTTAGATCCTGAGTTCACATATGTGATCTCCATCTTCCTGACTAATCAACTATCCTCTAACCAAAATTTTACACACCATTATAATATTGAGGTATCAAAATTTAAGGGAGATAGAGCTTTTTTTTTTTTTTCCCCCTCATTTTCCCTTAATTATGTTCCACTAAAATTTTGACATTCAAAACTATAGTGACGTGTCAGAACAATCAATGAGATGGGGACTCACTTTTTCCCTTTTATTTTCATTTTCCTATTTTCTAGTTGATAATATCTTAAGCCCGAGAAGTAGGCAGCGTTAGGAGTCCAGAAACGTGAAATAATCTGAATCGGTAAGTATGAATCGAAATGGATTATGAACTGTTGGAACCCTATTTACAATCAACTATGATACATATCATTAAAATAAATAGGAAAACTATAAGCTCGTAAGTATAGTTTTTTAAATAGGTTTTATGTACTTTCTGAAAGAGTTACATTAAAACTTTAGAAACATCCTATTCACAGTAGGATTAATTTCTCTTTTGTATTCTGTTATATTTGTGCAGTCCATGTTCTTGAATAAATACCATAATATAATTTAATAATATACATCAAAATCTTTATTGCATGGATATCATGAACCCAAATAGCACAGGAACGAGTGAATTTTACGGAGAGATTGAAGAAATCGAAGACGAGGTAGAAAGCAGATTCAATCTTTTCAAGAACTTCGATATAATCCCCAACCCTCCGGACGATCATCGGTTCAAGAAAGATTCCAGTAGGGTTCTTTTGGAATCCCCATTAGGGCAAAAGATTGAACAAGAATGGAATTTGTTGAAGAAAAATCTCCCAAATTCAATTTTTGTTAGGGTTTATGAATCTAGGGTTGATCTTATGAGAATTGCCATGATAGGTCCACCTCATACTCCCTATCACCATGGCTTGTTCTTTTTTGACATATTTTTTCCTAGAAATTATCCATCTTATCCTCCAAAACTTTATTATCATTCTTATGGCCTTGATCTGAACCCGAATCTTCGTCACGGAGGAAAAGTTTGTTTAAGCATGTTAGCGAGGAGGTATGAACGTATAATACGGGAATGGTATGCATGTTACCCACAAAAATGGAATAAACACTCTAGTATTCTTCACGTGCTATATGCAATTCAGGGTTTGTTCATGTGTGCAAAACCATACTCGACCGAAGAATCCAACAAGAAAGCATTTGAATTAACTTGTGGGATCGTGATTCAGGTTTTGAGAGAACCTCCTATGGATTTTGAAGATTTTGTTAAGGGATACTTCAGAAAAAGAGCTCATCCGATCCTGTTGAAATTCAGAAAAGAATTTGATGGTGATAAGGATCAGCTTAGGATTATTGAATTGTTTACCAATCTTTATAGGGTTTTGGAGAAGAATGGAACTTACTGTATGCATCATCTTTGTTTCTTGAAATCAATAAAGGGGAACACAGAAGAAGAAAGCATAATCATGGGCTACTTTATGAAGACTGCAAAAGCGTTGAAATACCAAGCTGACTCATGACTTGCTAAATTGAAGCATCGTCCGAACAATACGAGAAATTTATTTATTTAAAAAGTTGTTAGCGCATTTTTGTAATAATTTCTCTATTTAAATTGTTGTTAAGCCATTTTCGTAATGAATGACGATTTATTCAAACCTTGTCTTTTATACGACAAGCTAGATTTTATTTTTCGGAATCAATGTTTGATATGTGGGAATTACTAATTAGGTTGCAATTTTATGATTAAACTTGTTGGTTTTTGAGTATATTGTGTTGTTTGTTATCTAATCTAAAAAATTTCTTAGCACAAATAACCTTATTCTTATAAAATTATCTTAAAACAAGTCATGTCTCAATTTAGTTTGTATTATCATAAAACATTGTCACTTTGTTTAAAGGTGAAGAATTTTCCCTTTTCAGGAATTTCTCCTAATTTTTCAGATTAGGCCGAAAGCAAATGTTCAATAACTGTGGCAATTCTAGAAAGGAGTGAAGAGAAGGATCTATTAAATTATTGCCCACCAAAAAATTACAAGAATTAAACTAGTTATACATTCCTTCTGTACAACTAGCTTGACATCCCCTACTCTAAACAATGGCCATGATTTTGACACATCATGAATGTCAAACTTAATGTACAAAATGAATGTACATATAACAGCTTTGAAATTACAGATATCAACCATGTGAAATGCTTACATGTTATGAGCAGTGGCAACATCAATTTGGTATAAACTAATCAATTAAGATTTGTATTGCGTTTTTCACAACAGAATACACTATTGAATATGACAAGCACGTTTCATATACATGAAAGTTATCCTTTCAGGTCCTTTCCCGTTCCGTGTCAACAGGTGAGGCATTCTTAGTGCCCACGTTATATACCTCCCAAGTCATCGGAGAGGAATTTGATGTGTCAGGTTTGGTGGTTGCCCAAAGGCGCACGCGTACTCTTCTTTTATGAGCGAGACTCCGTATAGCAATCATATCTCACCATTATGTGTATGTAAATCATTATATAAACACATTATGTACATGTAGCATAACTGATTCCATTTTATCATCAAGGCATACAATATTTTACATACTAAAAATGAGAGCTCTTTTGAGGAGGACCAAGTTGGCGCTAGAAAATGCAAAATAACCTCATTTACCAGCTTTATATAGATCAACCGTCTTCTAGTTGATATTCTACATTCTCGTTTCTCCTCCTCCTCCACCCATCACCTTCTCTCCCTAACCCATCTCCTGTGATCCCAACCACTCATCCTGCTCAATTTCCTCATGGTCGGGAGCCCCCAAATAGAAGGAAGTCCTCAAAACTCCTTCCCAGTTACACTCGGAAGTCTTGCTCACTAAATGCAGGGGAGATATGGGGATCGCATATGCAAAGTGGGGAAGGAGGTATGCAAGAGGAAGTAAAGAATGATGCGCTGAATGTCATATTTAACAAGGTTAAATTGAACATTCAATCTCCAAAAATGCATCTTATCTTAAACTAATAAAAAGGGTAAAATTTCCACTCTGCTAGAAAGGCTATTCTGAACTACTCAAGAATTTGCCACCAGAAATTGACTTAATCTCTCAAACTATACAAAAATAAAGAGGTTCATACTTCATAACACATTCATTAAACCTGGAAATATCAGTTAACAATGTCACTAATCCCATCAAGTCTCTGCATAAATTGAAACCAAAAGTTACCATATTTCAGAAAATCCAATCTCAAATGGCATGCACGTGTATAATGAACCTATTGAATGAAACAATGCCAATCAAATCTAAGCATACATACACATGTAGATCAAAGAAGTGGACAAGGGGTAGGGAAAAGATAGTGAAAGAGACACTGGAGATGAGTGGGACTTGAAACACTTTTCACACGTAGGTAAAGAAAGGGAAATGGTATTTATCCCCTACATTTCCATGATGGCCAAGAGAATTAATGACTATTAAAGACATTTTTTCCTATATTTCTGGCATACTTCATCTTCAGCATAGTCTTTAAGACAAAAATGCAGAAGTATTTTTCCATTTCAACAATGTTCATAACAAAAACCAAAAACAAATCTGATTTCTATCTAGATCATTAATTCCATAAATTTTCAGTATAAAGCACCACAAGAGAATTTCAGTCATAAATCGACTCAGAAAATACATATATTTAATATACGTACTTGGTAACAAGTAATAATTGGACAAGCTGAATCAGAAGAGAACATAATTATCAGCATCTTGAGCTTCGATTGTAAGCAAATTAAAGATGTTTGGATATCACTAAAATTTTACTTTCTTCTTATTGATAATGAAAAGCGCCTCAAAGAGACTCTCTAATTACAAGATTCTCTTTATTTTATAAAGCCAATGCATAAAAATAAGCTCCAAAAGGCTGTTAATTTTTTAAAATATAGAGTGATTTTCTCTGGATTTGAAGAGCTAAACTTACTCTCTATTTTTACATTGTAATGATTACATTTGATAAGTTACAGTTCTCAATATTCCACTTCTCAAATTATTCAAACCATATTTGAATTGATTGGCCATAAAAATCTTAAAAAAAAAAAAAAAAAAAAGTAAATAGATGAAGGGAAACAATAAATGTTTATGAAAAAAAGAAAAATAATGTTAAAATAGATAGCATTGTTGGAGGGTTTAAAAAAAAATTTACACTATAAATTTAATGATGCTCTCTATCATATATAAGAAGCTCTCTGTTAGAGAGCCTTTCGGAGATTCTCTAAAGAAGTTACTTCTTTGGACAATGAACAAGACAATAACTTTAATATTTCCAACTCTACCTTTTTCACTTATAAGTAAATTTATTAAGCCTAGCCAAACATAAACTAGATGTATATACGGATTCATCTTCCCAATACTTATCTACAGCTTATATCTCTATCCTCAACATAAGCTTCAAATGTTAGAAAGGATAAGGATTTGCTTTCAATCTTAGCAAAACTATAAGATAAAAATAATAATGAAACTAAAACAATCTCAATTCGAAAATATATTCAATACAAAGTTCCTAAATTTCACAAAATAGAACATATTTATCATGTTCATCATATTAAGCCAATTTGGCATGGCTTTTGAAAAGCTGAAAGCTGCTTCTGGCCTAAATAGCTGCTTTTGAACATGTTTATAAAATGTTGTGGGGGTGCTTTGCCTGGCTAGAGCTGAAGAAGCTCTTCTACAAGAGGCAAAAGCAAAAGCCCTATGCTCTTAATAATCTAATAACCACAGTTCCCCTAATTTTATTAGTCTGTTCCAGCAGATTCGCCAATCTAGGAATTCCATTTATGAACTGAATCAAGATCAAAACATTTAATAAAATACAAATTTACTATAAATCAGATCAAAGTTAGAAAACAAACAGGGTCGATTAAAAATGACCTTCCTTGGAGATCGAGATCGGGATCGAGATCAAGAACATAACAAACCGGGGAAAGGTAAGACTGATAAAACCAGAGCGGAAATCGAAAAGACAGATTACGAGTTTGTGCGTGAATCTAACAAACTAATACAACACCGATTGATTATCAAATCAGGAAAATGTTGATAGAATTGACTATCAACATCCCCCACATCAAGTGCGTACTCATCTCATCAGATTCACGCACAAACTTGAAATCTGACTCTTCTGTGAATTGTTGCAGCATACATCATCTTCATCAAACATGAAAACAATAAAATTGATTGTGTTAAACACAATTTGTAGCGAGGAAACAGAAAAGATTGAAGGATTGGAGCATTCGGCTGTGCCTTTGTGTATTCGTTGGATCCAATTGCAAACCCTAGCATTTATCATATTCGGCTGTGCCTTTGTGTATTCGCAGGATCCAATTGCAAACCCTAGCATTTATCATATTTTTATAGTATTTTTTATGGTGATATAAATAAATAAATTCTTCTTTGTAGACAAGTTGAAATGTGTGATGTGGATGATTCACAACCTTGGATATTAGAAATGTTAAAAAGATTATATTCATTTGCAACCAGAATGATAGGACGCATTATGCAAGTTTTCATGTCGTGTTAATTTTGATTTGTAAATTCTATAATTTTTATTAAGGATAGAGAGACGAAAGCCAAAAATCGTCCCAACTTTCCATAAAGAATAAAGTCCCGTGTACAGAGCAAATATTCACAGGGGAAAAATTCATAGTTCAATGATTAAGTATACATTGAATCATATATCAGATGCATAATTTGAAGATTCAAAAGTCAAATGTGTATATATATATATATATATAGTTACATCCGTTTTCTAAAATTACGCTTAGTTCCCTTCTATATCATGACTCATTTCAATACAAAATCGACATACCAAAATTAAAAAATTCATCTAACATTTTGTGTTCTCACCATGAAAACCTATTTTGGCTGTTGACGATAACGAAGCAAGTAACAATTATCACTGATTTCGATGAAAATTTTCACAATCTCACCCATGTCTGAAACGTCGAATCACATACTCCGAAATTGTGTTCGGTAAATCGAATACAATCACCGGAGACAAGAATAATCATTGAATTTCAAATTACGATTATCAATTTAGTAATACTATCATATTTGCAGCAGAAGAAATCTAACATTAGTCGTAGAAGTCCTGATCGTCGCTAAAAATAGAGTACAGGTATATGCTTCGACATATGATCTGATATCTGACTATGTGACCAACGGGCATATTGTAAGTAATATAATATGAAGGCTACATATAAGACATGTGATGAATGAATTTCACCGTGTCTCAACAATATTGAAATTCATATTCTCCGTGATTGACTTTTTGAAAAATGTGACTTGAATCACTCAGTATATGAAACTATTGCGCATAATCTGAGTGAGACAATTGTGTTACATGATCTGTGACCCATGTAATATGCAGTCATATTTATTCCTACATGATGTTTTTTCAAAAATGTGACCTGAATGAAAACACTCGTAAAAGTAAGTGCATGCTATGTATGTAACTAATGTGCATACTTCGTGTATGTGAATTGTGATGCCTAACTTGTGATTTATGTTTCTACCATGCATTCATTTGTGACTTTTTGAAAAATGTGCATGTCTATTATTTTAGGAGTTCATACACAAATTGTGTCAACTGTTATACTTTCATCACTAGACAACTAACAATTGTAATTTTAATTTGTAGAAATGGTGTACTTGCATGTGTGCTTATTGCATGCATCTCAAACTTCTTTGACATTGGTATATCGAAATTGCAGATATGTAAACCTTGTGGACACGATTATGAAGGAGTTCGATTTGGATCCTACAAAGGTAGCAGTCTCATTGAAGTACATACTGAATGAAGATTTGCCTCCAATTAGATCAGAAATGACAGCAATGTGCTCTCTTTCATCATGCTGAAGTATATGGCGCACGAACCTACTAAATACCCATTAATCATTGATGTTGCGGAGGCAGAAGTAGATAAACCATCTATCACATTGCCAGTTAATCGACATGCTGTTGGTGAGCTATGCACGTTGCAGGATATGACATCAAACATTTGTGAAGCAGCAATTGAAAATGTAGGTCACATTTATTACAACGAAATCATAGTTGTTTATGTTGTAGATGCTACAGAGGTCGAAGAATGAAGGGTTTTCTATGATAAAGACATTTTAAAGTTAAGCATATCACTTCTTACCATACAGAATATGTTTGAGTTTATGGTTGAATGGTCAGATAAGAAAGAATATGTTGTGAGGTGCTCATACGAGGAATGTAGTTGGATGTGCAAAGCATCAAAATGGGATAAAACGGAACTGTTTAAGATTCGGAAGATTGGTAGTCACACATGTGCATCAAATGTAGTGCTGGGGTCACACAGGCAATTATCAACTATAGTTGTGTCCTCTAACATCAAGTACAAGTACACGTCGTCTCGTACTATATATACACTGAAGGATATATGTAGTGATATGTTGCATACCTTCTTCTCGGTTCCTTCGTTGTTGACCACAAAGTAGGATATTCCAAATTCGGGGGTCAAAGAGTTTTAGAAGACGTTCTTGGTGGAAAAAAATTTGAATGAAAGATCCCATTGAATTGAATTGGGTCCATCAATCGAATCACTGTTCGCGACCCAGGATTCTATTTTATCATCAATCCAATCCCCACTCACGTTTTTTCTTTTTCTTATCAATGAATAGATCTCTTTACTTGTATGACTTAGATGTCTTGTATTAGATCTCGTGAGCAAACTTTGAAGATGATAAGAGGTGATCCGATCGATTTGTTTGGTAACATACCAAACTTTTTCTACATGCTTCAACAAAAGAATCCTGGGACGGTCACAAACTTGGAGGTTGGCAGTCACAATCGCTTCAGGTATTTCTTTATGGCACTTGGTGCATCAATACGCGGCTGGAAACATTGTAGGACAATAATTGTGGTTGATGGTACGTACTTGAATGATTACTACGGAGGTATCCTTTTCATAGTGTGTACACAAAATGCAAGTAACAGTGTATTCGTCCTTGCATTGGGATTGAAGATAATCAGAACGACAAATCATGGAGATGATTTTTAAAAAACCTGAAAAAGGCGTACGGGAATAGAGAAGGGATGTGTTTTGTATCGGATCGGCATAATATTATAAAAAAATGCAATAGAACGTGTATCCGGGAACCTATCATGGTATATGTTCATATCATTTGCTACAGAACTAGAAGTCGCATTTTGGGAAATCTGGACAAAACGTTACACAACCTTTCAATTCAGCTGTCAGAGCTTACACATTGGAAGAGTTCGAATATCATATGCAGCAACTGGACACAATGAATCAGAAGATTAGTGCTTAACTGGTATTGTAGTACTTGAATGTAATTTTTCACAAAACATTGAAATGGTTACATATTGTAGTTATATGATATTTCTCAATGCAATACATGTTTGCAGGCTGAGGGTGGACCTAAAAAGTGATCACGAATCCATATGCCAAAAATAGGTATTCAACAGTGATATCGAACATCGTGGAATCAATCAATACAATCACGAAGGTAGCCAAAAATTATCCAATCGTATCCCTACTGGAATCATTGCGATAAACTATGTAAAACTGGTTTTGTAAACACAGAGACAACGCGCATGGGACTTTCACAAATTTGACAAGCAAATACGAGAACGAGATCCGAAAAATGAGTATAGATTTAAAAAACTTGAGGGTAAGTTTTAATTCTGACGATCACAACTACTCACACGACAGTTGCGTGAGCTAATGTGACTTGAAATGCACTTCCGTGATAACATATGTTTGTATACTTATGGGCCTTTTATATATGTCACCTGAGCTCACTGCATGTGACCTTCCCATAAATCCTGTGACATTAAACAGTGCAACCGCATGTGACCTTTCTATATAATTCTGTGACATTAAACTGTGCAACTGTGACCTGCTCAGATCTATAATTTGTGACATACACCTCAAGACTGTGGCAACAGGGTAGATACTTGTTTAAAATGACGTAATATGTCCATTTGATTATATTTTCCTAGGTTTCTCCTTGCAACCAGTCAATATTTTTTGTTAGCGGTGATAAAACAATTTTCGTTGCTGATATTGAGTAACAGACATGTATATGCAGGATGCTAAAAGTTGATTTGTTACCATGTCCACACGCATTGGCTGTAATTGCAAATACAAAAAGTGATCCATATACTTTCTGTTCTTATTATTACACACGTGATGCATACTTGAACGCATACGAAGATTATACATATCCTGTTGGAAATCCAAGCGAATGGACAATGCCTAAAGAAGTGCTACATGAAATTGTGTTAGCTCCTAACAAAAAATGGAGTTGTGGAAGGTCAACTGAGAAGAGGAAGAGATCATCTAGAGAAGGAAAACCATCAGTGAAATGTGTATGTTGTGGAGGACATGGTCACAACTGTAGGAGATGCTCTAGTCTTGTCCCATTGAGCTAATATTAGTCAATGCAATAGCACATAATATATGTGATCATTGTGTTTTTGAAACATTCATTTGTAATACAAGGTTGACGTTATATGTGACCGTTGTTTTTTTCAAGTGTTCAAAATCTTATTTGAGTCTAAGTATTTGTTTGTTAATACATTTATTTAGATATGGTCAAAAGTTATGTAATCTAGTTGGCTATGAATCCCTATTCCTCACACAGTAGGATCTATGACCTGATGTCAAACACATAACCTCTATAATTGAATTATGTGGTCATTGTTAATTCAGAATTGTGACCTGATGAGTCATGTAGATGTCTGTGATCAAACTTCAAAGACATGTGACCAATTGTTTGGGAAAAAAATTGACATGTGACTTCCTAACAACTCTATGACCAAAATATGATGAACATGGGACCTAAATCCTAGTGATATGTGACCAATAATAAATATATGTGATCACCAAACAGTTTTGGGACATAATGTGTTGACATGTGACACAAAATAGAGTTATCTCCGACCAATAATGCAAAAAAGGATTAAATTTGGCTAAAAAAAGGTTATGTGCCACAGATTTTTGTTATATGTGACCTTTTCTAACAATAAAAGATCATATATAGTAACTACTTGTGATTACGTAATCGGTGATCAAATTCCAAGCAACTCATGATTTGTGACCATCCATCAAATGTGACCATCCATGTGTATATAAACCCAAAATAACAGGTGACAAAAAAATAACAGTTGATCAAAGCAATTCTAGTGAAAAACAATTACTACATTTTATAACTTGAAAAGTGATGCTGTCATATATTCCGTACAAAAAAATCTGTGTACATAGCAACAAGACAAATCCATGGTGTAGAAACGATGAGAAAAATACAAAAATCTGGAGTGCACAGATCAGAAAAGCTACCAAGTAAAACTTCATCTTCCTTAGCACATATGATGTCATTCTATAACTATCCCCCCATTAAACCCTACTTCGCATGCTT